GTACATAATGGGATACAGGTGTATGGGAGCGGGTACATAATGGGATACAGGTGTATGGGAGTGAGTACGTTATGGGATCCTGTGGTGCCGGCTCACCTTTACACACCCAGATTTACTTCCGTCTTTTTATTTATTTAGAAACATTTCACTCTTCCAGGTTCACAGAGTTGCCCCTATTTCTTTATTAACCAAATCAACGCTAAATAAAAAGTGAACAAAACGTGTGCTGATATTCTCAACCAAGTACTGAACACTGAATGTCACAGCCATACACCTGCATCAGAATATAACAGACTGTAGGGGAACAACTTGTTTTTCTTTTTCGACATGTAGCGTAGACCACCACTTATAATAATCACAGATTTGGTCACTTTGAGGTATATACACATCTTCAAAACATTTAAATGAAAAAACAGTTTATTTCGGTAAATGAAATTTACAGCTGTCAGGGCAAGCCTTTACACCGCAAAGGCTGCTGGGTAATAAGATGGCGCACGGTGACCCGCTCGCTGGTATCGCAGGACGGACCTGATCAGTGGAGCCGGGCCCAAAAGGAACAGCCGAGCCCTGCTAGGAAAGGGGGAGTCCAAATGGATCCCTTTGGGTCCCTGTGGGCAATGTCTTCCATTGGCAGTGCACCCCGTCAGACATGAGAGACCCTGTGCGTCTCGCGGGCCTGCCGGATACCGTAAAGCCACTTGATAACGCGAGCGTTGCGCTCCACAGCCGAGATGCCATAGGGCACACGGTCCCCATCATCCTCGTCGTCCGTGGGCTCGCCGTCACTGTGGGGCGAGCGTTCACGGTCCGAGCTGAGCACGCTAGCACTGCGGAAGTTCAGCGAGATGACGTCAGACCCGGCACGGGGGCCGCTCTCCACGTCTGTGTTCTCCATCTCCTCAGGGTCCAGGCCACAGTGGCTGAAGAACTGGTCGGCATCGGGCCGGACCCCCAGCCGCTCGCTCAGGTCGGATTTGGATCGGCGCAGGGGGGGCGCCCCGGCCGAGAGCACTGACGCCACCCCATCTGTCTCCAGAGGCGGCACGGTGATGGGCGGGGCACCACGCCTGGCCGGCAGCGGAGGGGCGGAGCCGCAGCTGGGTGCCACGCGGTAGGCTTTGCCGTGACACGCCCTCCTGATGTCCGAGGAACTGTGGGAGGCATAGAGCGGCGGCAGGTGGCCCGATCCCTCCTCTAGGAGGCGCCGGCTGACGTTCAGGTTGCCCGCCGGCTCAGCCGAGCGCCGGGGCGCCCAGCTGCGTGCGCCCTGGGCCTTACTGGCCGAGGTGCCCTCTGAGCTGTTCAGAATGTTCCTCAGAATGTCCAGGTTGAGGTTGCCCCTCTGTACACAGCTCTCCGCCTTGGCATTGTTGTTGCAGGCCTTGGGGGTGGCAGCCTGGCCGGCTGGGGGCTTCACCGGCTCTTGTCGGCTCTTCATCACCTCCTGGCTCTTCACGTACTTTGCCTTGTCGGCCTCCAGTCGCTCCACGGCGCTTAGCCGCTTGGGGTTGGGCTCGGCCGTGCGCCGGAAGTATTCGGGCCCCTTGTTCAGGATGCGCAGGGGGACGGCGGGCGCCGGCGTGACCTGGCCGGGCACCCTGACCGCACCCTCTGAGCGCAGTGCCTCCGTAGGCATGTCGGATGGCGGCTCAGCCGCTGGCACGATGGGTTCCGTGGCTGGCGTTCCCCCGAGGGTGGCGGGGAGGCTCAGGCATGAAGATAGCAGGCCAACGAGTGAGTTGGGACGGGAGGGGGGGGCGGCGGCTCAGCAGCACGGCTTAGAGAAACCGCTCCTCCCCAGGCTCCTCCTCAGCATGTCTCCCCAGTGACAGGGCCCCCGAGAGCGGCCCCGCGTCCACGACGTAGGCTCCTCCCACCCAGCGATGAAGCCCAGGCTCTGAAATGAAGAGAGAGCTGTGCATTAGGGCGACGGTAACAGGACTTCATCAGACAGAAAGAAGTTACTTCTGGTCTTCAGTGGTTTTCTGCGGTCATTATGTTGACCTAATACAAAGACATGGGTCATTCAAAAAGACGATGACTCCTCCACAGCGTTACAACGATAAAATAATACATTATGAAAGTTTGCAAACTTCACAAACCATCTTAAGAATTCGACTAACCTCATTCTACCTATGACCGTCCCCAGTTCACCGTCATGATTGACCGTTCTGGTGAAACAGGTTCACTCAGCACTGCTGGACGCTCTGCTCTTGTGTTTTCCACTTAAATTTAGTTCTTACTCAATTCTCTGTTTCTGATCTATCATTGGAAGAGTTACAATAAGATGGAAGAGTTTTGTTGAACCAAACAGCAACATCCTGCGACCCGCTGGGGGCTGTAGCTCCCTGCCAGACGTCCCTGGCCTGCTTTATGTTCCTCCCACTCCTGCTCCCTCATCCTGAGACCAAAACGTGAAACAAGCTCGTCTTACTCACACTGAGGCCACTCCCCTCCCGACCCCATGTGACCAGTGGGGGGGGGGGGCTCGGTGGGTAGCACTGATGCCTCATACCTCCAAAGTCGGGGGCTTGATCCTGCCCTTGTTATCCAGCAGTGTTCCCCATTCATTCCCTGGCCTTCCTGATGCTAGGACACAGTGAGCTTTGACACACAGGAAACTTCATATAACATGGAAATTTGGGCCTGACCGATAATATCTGCACAGCAGGTTATCAGCCAATATGCACTAATTGCAAATAAGTCATTACTGGTGTTTATAACGGCTGATAAATGACAATGAAATCGAAACGGGTCCTTCAACCACATTACACGAGTTTGGAAAAAAATGTGACTCTTATTTATCAAAACTTTAATATATTTTATTGTACTTTTGTTCAAAGCACTGTTTATGACAATAAATAATCACAGATTATTTTTAAACTGCATTATGTGATATCGGTTGAGGATTTTTAAATAACTACACAAAAATGTTAGGGAAAATCTTTGATTATGTGTTTCTGAAAAAATGAATAATCGGTTGATATATTGTTATCGGATTTTTAAATCCTCAAATATCTAAATCGGTACTGGTATGAGAAAATGAGCATTGGTCAGGCTCTACTGGGAATCACTGTGTCAAGTCTTTGGATTTCAGGTTTAATACTTGTTGAAGGGTGCCGTCTCCTGAGGGGGCAGCAAGCTAATTGGATATGACTCCTAACCCTCCTCCCACCTATAACTAACCTAGGAATTAGTTTCACCTCCTTGGTTGCCTTCTGGAATTTTTCACAAATCATTTTTAATATGCTACACCATCAATCACTGTTAATTTTGCAATACACTCCTAACTGCCCTCAATAATCATTTTAGTCGTACACTGTATCGAAGCACGGAGTATATAAGATTAACGGCACAGAATGATCACGGTGGAATGTGAGGGTGATAGCTGGCATGGGTAGCTTCCGAGCGGCAGGTCAGTGCCCAAAGTCGCCGTCATTAGGGTGCTGGATGATCTTCGCAGTGAGTGTGGCTTAAACAAACAGCACGGGGTTTCAATTACACTGCACGCATTTCATTAATGGAGTCTAATTATGCAGATTACCCAGAAACCCTGACCTTAAGGTTGCCCGTCTGTTACGGAACGGAGCGTTTCTTAGGCTGGGGGAGGGAGATTCAGCAGGGCACACAGACACAGTGACTGGGGGCTGACACCCTAGCAACACCAGGCTGTATCCATAGCAACGCAGTGCAGAGGGCAGACAGAGCCGCACGAGCCATGCAAAGACCACGTCGTGGGCGTGATCTGCGGAGACAGACCCATAACTCTGAGCTTCTCCACTGACATCTATTTCTGCCATCAGTTTCATAAAGTGAAGAGATGTCAATGGATGTAACTTGGGCAGATCGCCCCCTGCAGGACACGGGTGGCTGCTCTCGCCTAGTGTAAAGCTGCTGATTCTCTCTTAGGCGGATTCTGGAGCTAGGATACCTTAAGCCGACCAGGATTTAGTCTGCCCGCTTGCCGGGGAAACGCGGGGGGGCGGTTTCTGAGTCCGAGACCTGCTGATACGGCTTCATGGAGGCTGACGGGGTCACAGACAGAGAATCACAGCACCTGCGGGGTGGTGAGGCCTGCAGTATGATTCAAAGGCCCAACAGTCCCACGGAATAGCAGGCCTCGCTTCCTAAATCCTGCAGGAAGCTCTTCCACGCCGTGCACTGTCAGGATCCGGCACTTCAACCGTCATGCCTTAAATCACACGGCTAATCAGGAGCTTCACAAAACGCACACCTGACACATCTAACATGCATCCGTGGTGGGACCATAACAAACTTCTGCAAACAGCAGAATTACAGAATTTTCAGTCTGTGTATCCACACGTGTGTGTGTGTGCATGCGTGTGTGTGTGTATGGGTGCATGTATGTGCGTGTGTGTGCATGCGTGCGTGTGCATGCGTGCATGTGTGTGCATGTGTGTGTGTGTGTGCATGCGTGTGTGTGTGCATGCGTGCGTGTGCATGCGTGTGTGTGTGTGCATGCGGGCATGTGTGTGTGTGCGTGTGTGTGCATGCGTGCGTGTGTGTGCATGCGTGCGTGTGTGTGCATGCGTGCATGTGTGAGCGTGTGTGTTCATAGACAACGTGCGGAATCAATGCAGTAAATGCATGGCAGCTGTGATGCATACGCGTACTCGTTGTGAGCGTCGAATATAAATCAGCCCTAAGGCTACAGCTCTGCAAGGATACAAATTAATGTTCTAACATGCAGAACCGATAAACCACTGCTTTGGTGCTCCAGAGGATTTCAACCAACTATGCCCTAGAGGTTTGGTGCGTTAATTAAAAAAAAAAAACTTACCGTTGTCTCACTATGAATTAACTTGTTTACTTATGGTGTTATTAAAAAACCACTACAACAGGAAAAGTCTACACGAGGACCAATAAAAACATAGCACTTTTGCTCTCAGCCAATGAGCTGCTGGCGAGAGATCTCCAGTGTGAGGTCGTCCGAGAAGAGGCCGGTGCAGTGGAGGGCAAATGGAGCCTAACAACCAAACGGCTGAAACAGGAACTACACATTCAGTGTTTCTGCAGAGATTCATAGCAAAAGGTTAAGCAGCAGTACCGTCCCGTTCTTCGAACAGCCCTTGTCCGCTTCTACTCGACCTTTCCACCGATCCAGAAAAGCACAGGAAATATTTTCTGAAGTACGTCTCCCGTGTGTCGTAACTCCCAGAAGGGGTTACGAGTCAGCATGTCGTTTTCTGGCAGCTTGTGAAACAGCCACCTCTGGTATGGCTGAAAGCGATCCATCCTTGGGGGGAGGGGTGGAGGATCGGGGTGGGGGGAGGTACCAGCAGGGACCAGCTGGAGTGGAAATCCAGACAGGCCAGATGAACCTTTCCCCCCCGCTTTTTGTCCTGATTAGTCCATAAGCAGAATTCTTGCTTCTGCTGCACCGGTTTCAGGGATTCATGTCTGTGCAAACCAGTCCCTGGACAGCCTAACACACAAAATCTGCCACCCATCTAACGATGCCTGGGAGGGAAGCATCCTGCTCTGAAATGCAGATGTGGATCATCTGGTTATCCCCAGCCCAACCGAAGCGGCGTCTGACCCAGGCAGCTGGTTAACCAACAACAACTGCTCCTGTGCTCCCCTGGTGGTATTCGGGGGAAGAGCACCCAGCTGCCCAGGAACACCTTAAACAAAGCAGAAACATGTCGACGTATCACCAGAAGAAACAGGACCGGGAACCCCATAATGGGAGCATGAGAGTCCAGCATCCCCTTCTACCACCTCTACCCGCCGCCCACCGGACCACCTCGGCCGAGGGAACGGGCACCAGCTGCTGCTTAATTTGGTCAGTGCACGTCAATGCCACTGGGCCCCGTGGCAACTCGCCACTTCTGCTCTGCGGCTGGAAACAAACTGCACATATCAGGCGGAGAAACCAAAAAAGGCAGAGGCTACTCAAGGCAGAAGACACCAGCCACCCCCATCCCCATCAAAAATGGTAGAGCCCAAAGTTCAAACTGCTCCAGGTGAGCCATACAAAACTTGATCCAACCATCTCATGCAATTGGAAAAGCGAACCGTCGCCGTGGCTCAACAGTTACAGCAGTGTAACCAGGGGTGGGTGATACGGTAAAGACATCAAATCACCATGCGCTTCAGGTGGGATCACCATCCATGATCTTATCACAATTCTTTTTCCCTGTTGGTTTTTAAGACTGTTTTACAAGTTACTGAACAGTACAATCAAACTAATTCCCATATTTTTTTTCAAAATAGCCCCATTAGGTAAGAAAACCTAAAAGAAAAAAAATAGACAATTTACACCGAAGTACCTTTTTCAATAGATTGTAATGAAGTGTTTCCCTCCAGTGTGGCTTTCGGGTGCTTTGTGTTGCCATCCGACGTGCAAACCGTGCCAAATAACTGCTGTCTGCGGCTTCGTAAAATCCAAATAAGTTCCATATTGCCGATGTCGACGTCTGTTTATGTCGTCCGTACCGATGGCCAAACGGGGAGTGTGCTGCATATTGGGAAGAGGCCGCGGAAGGAAGGGAGGACAAAGCACTACCTCCTGTTTGATATTACCAGGGTATTGGTGTGTCGAAATGGATTTGGCTGGTAAAACAGCTTCAGATAATACCGTGCTACACTGTAACGATGCCTCTGCTAAGGCAGATCGTGGAGACATTTTAATTGTTCACGTTCAAATGTCGTCTAATTGCACAGCACTCGGTGTAACCGTTCTGCCAGCGTCTGTCAGAGGATCGCAGCTCTTCTTACCGTTATCTCGCTGCTTTAGAGTTCGTGTATTTCCTCCTCTTCCACCTCGGTCTGTCACGTTCATAGCAGAAGGGTGCCCTCCAGCGCCCCACCCCCCACTGCATGTAACATACGTATTAACTGGAGACGTCGCCACCAACGGCTGATCCCAGACAATCAGAAGCCTGGGACGGCACTGCGCTGTCATGGCAATCATGGAACACGAGTCTAGGATTGTCACTGGTAGAAAGCATAAACCAAAGGCAAAAAAATGTCCCCATCGGATTTGCGGAGCATTCCGGAACACCACATGGTGCACAGAGGACCGGCCCGGTGCGACGCGGCTGCAGCAGGCAGAGACGTGAACCTGCACATGATCCATGTGTGATGGACTTCAGACGGTCCAGAGCTCGAGCGACAGTCGAGGCGCGCGGGAGCCGACTCAGCAGAAATGCGGGCCGACTGCAGAACGGAAGCTGTATTGGCAATGACACCTGCAGGGCTCCACTCAGGCTGGGGGGAAAAAGCTACAAACCCCGCAGCTGAGATAAGAAAAGACCGGCAGCTACTGAGGAAGCCGGGAACCGGTTAAACCCAAACATGGAGATGCTGGGAAAGGCCGGGACACTGGATGATCATTCCAGCCACAGAAGCAGGATATACATAATAATCAATGTTAAGGAAGAGCTCTGGACTATGGATTTAGGTTGTTAAACCAGGAAATGCTGGGACATCCAATCAGACAGTGTTCAGTTCTGGATTACTGATCCTCCCTGTAATACCACGCACCTCCCTGTAATACCACATGGTACATTTCAGCATCCTTTAACACACACACCTCCAAGGACTGTGGAAATTACACGTTCCCTGAAATGCCTACTCCATGCTCTGTCATGCAACACAGCCACATCACATTAAACCGTATGGACAAGTTTACAAGGAGGATGTCTTCAAACTGCATTATGGTTTCATTAAAGTTCGAGACCCATCCTGCAATAAAGGGCATAGCAGCTAGGGGGCGTAAGAGTCACCCAGGACAGGTTCTGTGACCACCATACACATATCTGGGCAGGGCTGAATTCCGACCCGGTCTATAATTTCAGCTGCAAAGCGCAACAGTGGTTAATTACACCAGGCTTATGTGGTGGGTTTAGCGCTGCTGTAATCATCTCATTCGTTATCTGTGAATGAAAAGCTGGCTGACTAGGCTGCGGCATGGGGCCCTCTTTTAATTACCGACACGCCTCACCACAAATTTCACCTTCTCGGATCACAGGAAGGCATAAAATTCTGTGCTTCCCACGCCTAATTCCAGCACATATTATAATCCCACTTTGATCCGTCTGTAAATGAATGACTGGCCCAGTTAAACCATGGGTCTTTCCCACTACAGCGATCCATTACCCTTCTGTCTGGACTGACGTTTATCCACGCAGCCGACATCGGCATTGACTAGCCTATAGATAAACATGAGAAATAGTGTTCCTGGTACTTCGGCTGCCACACGATCATGCGCAATGAATTCCAAGTACTGGCCAAATTTACAATGCGCTGTTTACCAATACCACTGAATTGGACACATGGGAGAAATTAGGGAGAAAATTGTGGTGGGTGGGGTCATGCTGTGTCAATCACTGATTGGTTTCCTCATTCCTCCCTCTGGTCACTTCATTGGCTGAAACAGACAGTGATTGACAGCTCTTGATATCCCCACCCGCCAGGGACTTCAAAAACCTCACTTCTGTTACCACAACCGTCCAAATTCCTGTTTGCATGTAAAGAAAACCTGTCAAAAAAAATTACACCAAAGCTAGAATACTTGGCAATATCGCTGATGATTCTTACATTCTGGGCTGCTTACTACGCCCAATGGTGGAATTCCGCCCTTCACACTTCCCACGGAAAACGACGTGAGGAGAGCCTACGGGAATCTGTTTACGTTCCTAAATGTGCCGCTTACGAAAGGCGGACTCACGCAGATGCTCACAGCCGGGAGCAGCGGGAGGTGGTCGAGCTGAAGGATGCGGTGCCATTCCCCCGCCAGGAACGCACATCATCACGCCGATGCGGTGCCATTCCTCCGACGGGAACGCACATCATCACGCCGATGCGGTGCCATTCACCCGACGGGAACGCACATCATCACGCCGATGCGGTGCCATTCACCCGACGGGAACGCACATCACGCCGCCTCCTGATATTTGCCATCATCTCTCTGAGATCCTCCGCCCATCCTGGTACCTATGACATGTGATCCACACCGTAGTTAATTTTAAGAATATACGCACATTTCATAACACGCTGGACATATGTGGACGGTTCGTAAATTATTTACATACAGTAATATTCCGGAAATTTCATTAAGCAGCCGAATATGTCATTTATAATTCAGAATCTGTAGGAAATGTGGTGAATCTTAAAAAAAAGACATTGGGCAAAGCATTAAAATGATTCATGTTATCGGGGAGAGAGCCTCTTCAGGGTAATAACAACCTTAGCAGGCACATAACCAGTCACTGCAGTCCCAGACAGATGCGGGGGGCTAACAGGCGTAATAATTTGCACCCTACTGCTTGCCGGTCGTTCTGTGCTAATGTGGAATAGGAAAAATTATGGGGAGAACTTACAGTAAGCACCATATCGATGACACGACGACATTATACCCACGGAAGGATGTACGTGAG